ATACCATCTGGTACGTATCGTTATAGCGATTTGTATTTTTTTTTCTTCTCTTATTTCTTTGGTACAGTGTAATTGAACACTAAATACACATTAATGACAGTTTCAGGCAATCTAGATACAATAGAAATCAATGTTATATTTCTTTTTCAATAGTTTTGAACATGGTATGATGTGAAATTACTCTGATTAAACATATTGATCTTCTACAAGTGATAATCAATGATTTATTTTCAAAAAAATTATATATACATATATCAATAGTTCTTTTTTTATTTATTTCAGATAATATGCCAGGTGAAGGTAATACTCTCTCGACAATAAATGGTAAATAAAAATATTTAGATATAAATCATTCATTTAGAAAAAAGAAAAAGATTATATTTTGATAACATAATTAAATATAAACTTTAATAGATACCGAATGATAGATAGAATATCTGTTATGTATGCATCCTTATATCGCTATTAGAGTATTACATATTAAAACGATCTTTGTACTATTGATTTGGAATGGATATTAAAGGTCATAATCGGATAAATAATCTTCTTTCTATTCGATGCGTATTACGAGATGAACGTATGGCCTTCTCAATCGCGATTATTATTTCGCGTCAGACGTTGACAGTATATCTTCGTGTTATATATTTATCTAAAATAGTTTATAATATCAAATGAATTGCACTGATAGATCAAATCATCATGTGTACGAACTCTTTTTCTTTTCCGAAGGATGTCTACAGACATACAATTCCTTTTCTCTAAATTTTGTTTGCTTCCATAATGAAACAGTGTTTCAAACAAATATTGACTGCAGGAATATCAAAATTCTTCAAGGTAGATTATATGTTATTGTAAATTCCGTTAGAGAAAAATAACTTTTCTTTCATCGATTATTACAGATCTGATAGTAATCTCCTTGAAATTTTTTGTTGTAAAATCTATGGATTCTCTTAGATTAGATACGAATTGATTGTTTTTACGAAAAAATTCTAATGGATTCTAGCTATCATTATAACTTTCTATAAATAAATAAAAAAAAATGTAATCAAATGGTTAGAACCCATACAAGGACGTTCATTATGCTAAATTCTTTTTAAACTCAATAGGTTGTAAATAATAAGTAAAATCTCAGTCCTTCACTTTTTTTCGGTAGACGTCGTAAATCTGTAGATGATTTAGAAAAATAATTTTTATTCATTATTTAGACCGTCCTTCAGCATCCATATTATTGAATTCACCTGAATTTTATAATGAATTGACGAATTTATTAATTACTGATGGTAATAATGAATCACTCGAAAAACTGTCAAATTTACTTTTACCAATAACTAAACTTGATGCAACTGCTTGTAAAGGTAATTTTTTTGGTATTTTATTTTATCTTGAAAAAGAAAATTCTTTATTTAGGTCCTGTTTTACCCGTTAATGATATACGTGGTATTGATAGTCGTTCCTATGTGAAAAATGAACGTTATTTACGATGTAAACTAGCTTCACTTTATCGTGTTATCGATCTGTATGGTTGGAATTATGGTACATGTTATAATCATATTTCTGTAAGATTAAATTATTATTTGAATAAATTAAGCTATTTCTCTTTTCTTCAGGCTCGTGTTAATAATAGTACAGAACAATTTCTGATTAAACCTATTGGATTAGCATTTCATGAAATAACTGGTTCATCTCTTGTAAAAATTGATTCTAATGGTAAGAAAATAACAATAATAATAATAGATTCGAATATCATTTTTTTGTTATTTAGGCTCAATAATTGATCCCGGTAGTACAACATTTGGTGTTAATGCACTTAGTTTTTCGTTATATTCATTTATTTATAAACACCGTCCAGATATCAATTGTATTATTCATGTTCAAACACCAACTGTTACAGCTATTTCTGCTATGAAATGCGGACTTTTAGGACTTTGTCAAGAAGCACTTATATGTGGTCATGCAACAACACATCAGATACAGATAGATTCAATGACGAATCGATTATCCACTGATGAAAATATTCAACAATCAACAGCTAAAGTTCTTATACTTCCTAATTATGGAATGTTAGCTTGTGGTACAACCGTTGAAGAAGCTTGGCATATAACATTTCATCTTATCCTCGCATGTGAATCTCAATTACGAGCTGTTTCAATGGGTATTGATAATTTAATTATGCCATCAGATAGTTCAGCAAAACAAGTAAAGAAATGCCATTTTTATATAAGCTTCAAAAAAATTATATTCATATTATTTAGGTTACAAATACTGTCGGTGCTGGTGGTGGTGGTGGGGTTAATACAACCGATGTTAAATGGAATATTGGTGAACTTGAATGGTCAACATTAATGATCGTATTAGATAGAGCTGTATGTTACGTTTTTTTTTCAGTCATTTAAACCCACAATGTCTTATAAGGAAAGGTCCTCAGGTGTACCTATCTCAGATGTGAAACAATTATGTTCTCTTACTGCCTCAGTAAAAATTAGAAGTGAAACAACTTTAAAAATTTCATACATATGACTTGCTATATAGATTTTTTCGCCAATGGCAATGGGTGAAGCCGGATGGTATATTGTTCTATAGGTAGCAAATAGTTCCACATAACAGTCTTTATTGTTTTATTCTACCTTGAATGATAGATGAAAAAGTATCAGCTTAATATTTTATGTATATTCAAAATTATGACTGTATTTTTGCAAAATACTCTTTTCTTTTTGGAGATACCTTGTTTGATAATAATTCGCCATTACCATATGTTGCCAAAGGGCTTTTTTTAAAAATCTACACCAGTTGTTTTATGAATGAGTATAACTAATCACTTCGTTTACAACAAACAAAAAGTATTTGACGCTTCGTTGTATTTCTTTTACTTAAGATCAAAAATTCAATAAAAATAATTGAAATATCTCACTTGTTTAGATTTCAATATTCGTACTTTTGAAAAGTAATTGTAAATAGTTATCTCACACTTAATCTTTTCTTCTCTAGTTTTATATTAATCAATAGATATAATTAATCTTTTGATTCTCATAGAATTTAAATATTTTTATTTATTTTTTTTTGTATTTTAGGGTTATCATACCGGTTATATTTATCGTGAACCATTAATTCGATTTATTGATAAACAATAATAATATACAAAATATAATATTGTGTGCCCTTTTTTCCCCTTTCCTCGTTTTTGCTTGTTTTTCTAATATGTTAATCTCTCGAATTAATAATTGATTTTGTCGTGCAATGCACATAGTCGTTTGACTTTATATTTATATTCTTCACCTTTTTCGCATAACCTGTTTGATGAGTAAAAAAAAATATTTTTTAGATATTTCTCTTTCTGTTTTTGCACTTTTAATAACAAACAAAAAAAATGCCTATAGCAACAAATGGTACACATATTGAATCGCCTGTAAAAAATCAAGCATATCATCAAGATGATAAGGATGATGAATATCGTCGTGAACTTGAACGACCAGCTGATGTTGTTGAAGATATGCGACAGATGGGACAACGACAACGTGTAAAAACAATATTAAATTCAAAAGAATTTCGTGATGAACTCGAAGAAATTATAACTGATGCATTAAAACATGGACCACATCCAGCATCATTAATTGCTTTACAACAAATATCGGAATTATTATTACCACATACATCACGTTGGACAACTGTATCATCATTATCACGTGCTGGTGGATCAGTTATTGTACCAATTAATGATATACGTGGTGTTGATTCACAAGGTTATTCAAAAAGTGAACGTTTACTTCGATGTAAATTAGCATCACTTTATCGTCTTGTGGATTTATTTGGATGGTCACAAGGCATTTACAATCATATTACGGTTAGTTTTTTAATTTTGTAAAAATATCCTATTGATAAAATATTAATATAAACTTCATATTAGTACATATGAAATAGATTTTTACTGCCACTAATGCTACACGATTCGATGCTCAGGTGAATATCGAGATAGTGACTCGATCAAAGCATATATCTTTTATACTTTTTGTATTAAAGATATACAAGTATCTTTCTAATAGATACTGTATACTTAACACGTAGACTGTTCTTATAAGAAAAAAAATAGTACTTGTTGTACGTCTATTTTTTATTTTTTTCCGGAATATTAGAATCACAATAAAATGATGAAAATATTAGCAAAAAAAAACGAAAAGCATTAGAAAAAAAGCAAGAAAGTTCGAAAAATAATAGCACCAAATATTTATTAATCATTTGTTATACAAACAGCACCAAGACATTTTTCTAATTCATCACCGGCCAATGCGTTTAAAATTTGTAAATTGCTTTTCCACCGAATAAGTTTACCATTTCGGGTCTCCCCGGGTAAAAAACGATAAAAATCATCCACTATTATCAGCATTTCATATAGTTCTTCATCCATATTTTCAAGTTTTTTCATTTTCTTCTTGCAATTGTTTAATTTTTCCCCATAGTACTGGTCACATTCGGCAGATCTTCTTTTTTCTTCACGACGTTGTTTAATTAATTCTTCTGTTGCTCTAATTTCTTTCTTTTTTTCATTTATCAGTATTTTTAACCAGCTTCTTGCAAGCTTAATCCATTCAGCATAACCATTTAAAACCATTATTTTTTCATCTTTTTCAATGGCATCCATATTTCTGTTGTACTTATTTAATGCTCGCCAAAGACGCATAACTTCGTCTTGAGCATCTTCATCCGTTTTCAAACCAATATCACTAATCATGGCGATAATAAACACAAAATTCTAAAAACATAAAAACATTTATTTTGTCATTGAATCAAAAGTAGACTAGAATCGAATGTTACTCTAAACACAGAAAAGTTAGAATAAATGACTATGTAACGATGTCTACTAAAATCTAAGGACTCCAGGTAAAGGTAGAAATGAATCAGCATGTTGCATAGAATCTTCAGAATGAGGATGCTCGTATGAATAAGAATTTGAGTAATACAACGAATTTCGGCTCATCTCTACCCCAATATCATCTTCACTAACTCCAACCAACTTAGAACAAAAATGAATCTCATCGAAATATACGTCCTGTGAGTCACAATAAGCGTACCTATACAGCATAAAGCATACTCTGATAGAGAATAGCGCGACGGAAATCGAATGAAAAAAAAAAAGACTCGAATAGGGCGTTGAGCAAAACCGAGTTTTATTGAACGATTCGTCCTGTAAAATGTTTTTACTATGCATGTATGGAAACTATATCTGACAGAAAGTAGAAGGACAAGAACAAAATGAAAAAATAAAGACGAAATGAAAAGAAACGTGGATAGTGTTGAGTACAACTAAATAAATATCATAGAATGAAGCGTCATAGAGATTTTCGTACTATGTATACATTGTCAATATATCTGACGAATAGAAAGATGAGAAAGAACGGAACAAGAGCAATGACACAACGAAAATAAAGAAGGTTTACGGTCGAGCTCCGCTAAATATAATAGCATGATTCATCCTGTAAGACTTTTACAACGTACATAGCAGCGTTTCTTTTTTTTTCACACTTAAATTTATTGTTCCCGTTAGGGTTAACAGACACAAGCATAAATAAATAAAAATAATAAGATATACAGTTTCTTTTTTAAAATATTCCTTCTTTCTCTCGCCGCGTAAATAATGAATCTATTACACGTAGGACATAAGAACGAGAAAAAATGAAAACAACCAATTACAAAATGAATAGAAACTGGAACTTTAACTAAGTTCAGCTAAATATAATGGAATGATTTATCCTGTAAGATGTTGTTACTATGGATACATTGTAAATATATCTGACAGAGAATATAACGACCATGAAAAAGAAATAAAAGAATCAAGGATATAAGTGAATATTGATAATGAATCATAATACGTAATACACACCTTCTGTCCGATATAGGAGCATTGAATATGGCGGACGCCCACGTTACGCAGAAGTCTGGAAAGTTAAATGGAAATATACTTATATGATAGTTCAGTCATGACTAGGGCGTGAGGGCGTACATAGGGATGTGTTTGATACACCCATCCACACCTTCGAAGTTGACCAATTCAATTAAGTAAAACCGATATCACCATCTTGTAGCGTGATGTTGCAATCATTTAATCTGGCTTGATTTGCCGTATTTTCATATTATTAAAAAAGCAATGGGAAAAAAATGTGAGTCTGTCACGCTTGGACAGACTATATGTCAGGTTTTACGATCTAAAATTCGTTTCCTTGTCTTTGATCTTCATCGATATATTCAGTAACTACCTGTTAGAGTAAACTATTGTTAGTATACAGCCAAAACAATTTTCAAGATAACTGCATTCTCAAAGTAAACATGTGACAAATATTTTAATGGCAATGGCTAGAAATTTGTTTTATATCTTTCCATCGCAGAACTTCATTAACTATTTTAAATAGTTTTTTCATACTTATTCAACAATCAACAATCAGATAAAAACTGTCTGATATTTGTATCAATATATTTTCTTATCGTAATATTTATTTTGTTACAAAAGTCTTTTCATATATAAAAAGCAAACATATAAAATCGATGGAATATGAAAAGTTTTTAAGAAGCTAAATCTTTATAACATTGATTACAAACACGTTGTGATTTTTTTGATGATATTTCATACATGAATTAATATCATCATCATTTAACCATCGACGTTGACTTGCTTTATTTAATTGAACCTATTTAGAAGAAAACATTTTTCGAATAAAAAACAAACAATCTTGAGATTTTACTTAAAGACATGGGAATTCTCGAGCTATTTCTTATAAAGCTGCTGCTTCTGAATTCGAATTTTCCTTTAATAATTCAGCATTTTCAGCTATAAGTTTTTCATTTTTACTCTCATTTGCTAATGATCCTTCTAGTAAAACACGTCGTTCTTCTTAGCTCATAGCTAAACGTGTATCCGTATCTAATATAGAAAGTATAACGCATGAACAAGAATTTATCTTATGTACAAACCAGCATTTTCTGCTAATCTTACATTAGCAGTTTTAAATTCAGTTCGTACAGTAGCTAAGTTTTCTTTGAATGCAGATAATTGCAATTCATATATTTAGCGAGTACAAACACCCATTTTAATAAGATTCGGATGATACAAATTTTCCGATCAATATAAAATGATATAGATATTATTTATTTTATTTTAAAATCTTTTTGAATACAAATAAGGTAGATACAAGTATATGATTTTGTTTATATTTTAGGCTCGTGTTAATCAAGAACAAGAACATTTTTTAATTAATCCTTTTGGTTTAATGTATCACGAAGTAACAGGTTCAAGTTTAGTTAAAGTTGATATTGCCGGTAATTAAAATTTATATATTAAATGATGGTTTTATTCTCATTGAATTTTTTTCATAGGCAATATCATTGATTCGGGTAGTACAACATATGGAATAAATCGTGCTGGATATACACTTCACTCAGCTATACATAAAGCACGACCGGATCTTAAATGTATTATTCATTTACATACTCCGGCTGTTGCTGCTGTATCAGCAATGAAATGTGGTCTTTTACCCTTATCACAAGATGCTTTATTTTGTGGTAAAATATCTTATCATGATTATCGTGGCATATTAATCGAAGATGATGTTAAAAAACTTCTTGTCGAAGATTTAGGTCCAATAAATAAAGTAATGATATTACGTAATCATGGTTTTGTTGCTTGTGGTGAAACAATTGAAGAAGCATGGAAATATGCTTATAATGTTATAAATGCTTGTGAAGTACAAGTACGTGCAGCACCAATGGGTATTGATCAATTATATTTACCGTCAAGTGAACAACAGAAACGAGTAAAATTTAGTAACAAAAGAAAAAAAGAATAAAAATAAATTGAAATTTTTATTTAGATATCTGATGTATTACAAGGTAATTTAAATGAAGCAACTGGAGATAAAAAATGGAAAATTGGTGAACTTGAATTTGAAAGTTTAATGCGTATTTTGGATAATGCTGGTTTCCGTACGGGTTATGTTTATCGTCAACCATTAATTCGTACAATTGATAAATCCACAACATTTAAAGATGTTGAAGTTCCACCAGCTGCTTCATCCGCTACATCATTTGTTGAACAATTACATCCGGAAGCTTAGTATGTTATTAAATAATTTGATTTTTCCTATTAACCGTATAAATCGATTTAGTTCACCAACACGTCAAGCTCAACGTACAACAGAATGGCGTAATTCACCAAATGCTTATTTACGACAGGAAGTTGAAGAAACAGGAACACCGAATCCAAAAAAAGTTACTAAGGTATATAGACAAACTGAACAAATCCGATTAAATGTTATTCATAGGGAAAAAAGATATATAAAAAGCTGTATATCATAGTTTTTGCTTTGTTAGATGATTCGATACTATTCAGGTAAGTTAAGTATGCAATTCAAGCAGATAAATAAACCGTATCCTACATGCTAGTCTAATCGTAATTAAGAGAAGCTTAAAATATATTGATTACAGCTAATATAGTTCTAAGACGCTACTTAAATTAACAAAGGGTTTTAAAATACTATAAAATAATGGTTTGCTAAAAAACAAAGGAACGCTTTGCTATTGCTTGCTTAAAAAGAATATTATTTATATACAGAATCTTTTATATAACCTTAATACAGTCAATTTATATTTTCGTTGTCAGACTAAAGTATTTCATGAACGATATCATTTATTATTTCCCAGAATTTTTACTGCGACATGTGTTTCATGTAGTGAGACTTTAGATCTAGAGTTTAAGATAGAAATGAAATAATTATCTTTTCCTATCTTCGTACATTCATACATCAATTTAATAAGGAAAAAGTGAAGGATTTTATGTCCTCAAAAAACTACAACAGGCTAAAATTCAGTTTACAAATCTGTGCTGTTTTTTCAATTATTAATAGATTTAATAACTGAAATGATTCGAGACCGCTTTGTTATATAAAAAAAGTAGACAACCTTGGTTATTCCTTCTTTTCCGCATTGCAACCAATTAATTTTTCTCAGTTATATAAATATATCGATGTTACATGGGTTGTTTTTTTCTTTGTAAATTTAGTGGGTACCAGATACAGGTTTAAAACATTCAACACCAATAAAAATCGAAACAAAACATCAATTTGCACCGAGCAATGTTGATTCTAAAGAACTTAAAACTCATCAAAAACAGATAAAAGAAGATCGTTTCAATGAAAAAGTATCTGCTGGTTATCAATCGAAACTTCTTGATAATGCTGGATGGGAAGATGTATCACAAATGAAAGTAAGATATTTTTAATTTAATAATACAAAAAAACACGTTATTATTATTCCTTAGGATCCTCATCAACCATCATCAGAAGCAGTTGTTGTTGTTGGTGCTGCATCCAAAGGTATTATTAAACGTGATCAACAAAATAATGCTATTGTTTATAAAACTTATTATGCTCAAAATCCATTTGCTCATATGGATAATTATGAAATTGAAAAATATAAACGAGAAGTTGAACAAAATCAAATGCGTGAACAAGGTTTGGAATTCTTTTTTTTTTAATCAGAAAATCGTTTTTTTTAATCACACATATTTTCTTCATTCAGCATTTAAGAAAAATGCACTATTGGATGAAATACGAAAGGGTATAAAATAATGCTTGATTGATTCACTCGAACACACACCGATTCATTTCATTTCTTTTTTTTTCTGTTTTATGTTCCACAGGGAGCAAAAATTTGCAGACAAAACCTACTAATATAACTAGGGCTGGTGTGCAGCAAACTTATTCTTTTCTTGCTTGGATTTTAATAAGCATGGTTGACTCTTTTTCTCTCTTACCTGCTTGTATCTAAGGATTGAAATTAACTAAATATTTATTTATCTTATCAAGATAGTATAAATTCCGTAATAGATATCTTATACTTTGACTATGAATGAAAAATATAGAGAAGCAATTGAATTCTAGGGGAAAAAATTGATTATTTATTCATTTTTGACCGAAACAGTTTTAGATAATCCTATTCTTTATTAAATGAGTAATTGTGCTAAGACAGACGGTAGAATAATAATAATCGTATTTGATTTGTTAGATTATAAGAGCTAAAGAGTTCTTTTTGCAGACTTAAGACCGATATATGCATTCATCAATTGTTAGAATGAAAAATACATATTTCATGGCTCGTTCATTACAATCTTTTCGAAGTATTTTTATCTTTTTTCTGTTATTTCACAAGCCAGCACGAATTTATTGCTTTTATTTTATTTCTAAAATCTGCTGAGGATGACTTATTCTCAGTCACCTTCAAATCTATTCTTTTTTAACAACCAAAGAGAAATCTTTCCTTCTGAAATATGAGCATATATGTTCAATCCTGCATTTGTTCCTTTCAAATGCATGATCTATATATCTCTATTTATACAAAAGATAATAAACTAACAGACATTGGTGTTTTTTTTATAGGACATGATTCTCAATATGATGATCATAATGATAGTCGCGGTAAGTATGAAGAAAAAAAAAGTATGACTTTTTCTCTCTCTCTCCTCTCATATATTACTAATTCATTACAATTATGATTCAATAATAAATTAACATTAAAAAAGAACATTAGGTGTAAAAGAATATGATTCATTCTTTCGTGTACCCACTTATTATAAGATCAACAGAATTTTTATGTCCGTTGTTTCTCTCGTTCTTTTTTTTCTCTTTTCTCTTTCACCTCTTCCTCTTGTCTTTATTCAACAAAAAAAAATGTCACTTGTGTTACCGTCATCGACTACACATGCATTATTTTTTATGATTCATCATTAAATACTCTTACTGGAATCCAATAAATATGCCAATAAGAATCTAACAAGTACACAATATAAAATATCGGTAAGAAAAAAACTTTTTCTATTTTCTTTTTTTTCAAATATAAAAATATACAATTGAAGTTTTGAAGTTAAAAACGATAAATGTTTCTTGCTGGTTAACTATTGACCGTTAGATAAAAGAAGTGTCAAGTACCATTAAGTTTTCTTTTATTTGATTCAGATATATATATATATATATTTACTAGAAGGTTCATATATACAAGTAGTTTGATTTATTATATAAAATTTTCATTGAGTCAAATAGTCGTTCTGAGTATATCTATAATTTTATCATAATAAAAAAGTTCTAACAATTTTGTTATATCTATCTCGAGTTTTGACATAACACAGCAATCTTTTTTCTTTTTTTTCTTTTTCTTCTTCTTCTTCCTTTTTTTTTAGTATAGAAGTGAGAGAAGAACTAATCCAAGCTATTCTTTAAGGTTGTGTTAGTTTAGTAAAATGAGAAAAGAAAAAAAAAGAACACAGGTTCTTTCTCTATATATATATATATATTTAAAGAAAAAAAAGAAAAATATGACGATGATTTAAATAAGTCTATATGCTATGAAACCCTTCAAAGTATACTGATTAAAACAAAATCAATATTTTTCTACTAGTTTAAATGCAACGACAACAAATACCTCAAGTATTATCATCGGATGAATCATCATCACGTGTGCTGATTCATAGTGCTAAAAAAACGAGTGAATATACATTACCTCTAAGTATTACACCATCACCAATGGCCAATACTCGTCGTACAATTTGTACACAAACAATCCAAGAAATTCAACCATCATCTTCAACAAAATCTATTCCGTCATTTGCTGAAACTCAATTATTATCTGTTTATTATCCAAGTCTAGATCCAAAAAATCCATCAACAGATGATAAATGCATATTTGTTGAACAGCAAGAACGTCAACCGGTACGTTATCGTGCAACATATGATCCATTATTTTCATCCCAATCTACTCAAACATTACCTTTATCAACTTACGGTTCAACATTAATTATTGATAAAAATCAAATTACAAAATCTAATTATGAAAAACATCTTAATATTAATGATGAACATTTATTACCTAATGAGTCAATCGAAAAATCAAAATATATCTATGAAGAATATACTGTACAACTTAATGAAAAACAAAATCGTACATCATCATCATCGTCATCATCTGCAACAACAGTTATTGCTCAAAATGAAGATTTAGATTCAGATTATACATCAAATCTAAGTTCGGATGCAATGAATACACAATCATCGATAACTAGTATACCGATAAATCATGAAAATAAACGAATATCTAGTTGGCCACCAGTACCAGATGATATTTCACCATTAAATAATCAATATGAACAAAGACCTTCATTACATGTTCAGTTTTCTGAACAATTAATTAATATTATACCGCCATCGGCAAGAAATAGTCTTAATGACGAATCTTTATCACCACCTGCTGTTATACCTCGAACAAAAATATATGAAAATAATCAATTACAACGATTGGATACTCGACCAGTTAATCAATCGAAATGGGTTAAAACTCAATTGGATAGTTCCGAAAATTCAACGAATATAGTATCGAATCGTGTGAATACATTACGTTCAATATTTGAACAAGATAATTCTCGTTCATCAGATTCATCAACATTGAATAGTCCTATTAATCAAAATTCACGTAAAGAACCTGAAGAAAAACCATCAGAATATGGTGATAAAATACGTTTTCGTATTAAAGATATAAATTCTTCAACTATTCATCATGCTAAACCAGCAAAAATTATTCAACATACAATAAATTCTAAACAAGACGAACATTCAACATTGTCATTTAAACTGGATCAAATACAAAAGATTACGAATAAACAAATACAAAGTCTTGATGACATTGGCCATTATTTACAAGTAAATAAAACATTCATATTTTTGCATAATTTATCTTATTCATTCTAGGATGGTTATACATGGCAATGGAATGAAATATTTTGGTTAAGTTTAACAAATTCTCAACGTGATCAATTGAAAGATCTTGAACGTCAATTAGATTCTCGTCCAAAAAATACTAATTATTCGGATTTATCTTCATCATCATCATCAAATGAAACAAAACAATTTAAATCAACAATAAATATAACTGCAGCTGGTGCCTGGCAACCTAAATCACAAATATTACCATCTAGTATAACAAAATATACTGAAGCAAATACAATAAATGAAAATCAATCATCAATAAGTAGTTTTGGTTCAGCACCGCTCAATCCAACTTATACAAGAATTGGTTCACAAGAATCGATTTCTTCTTCAATAAATCAACAACAAAATTTAACATCAAATAAACGAACTGACAGTCAAATAACAATTATTGAATCAGGTTATAGTTCAAGTGATGATCAACAACGATATCGACCTAATTCAAGTACAATTATTGAAGAGTCATCAACACCAAAGATAAATTCTTCTAAACAATCGAAACATACGTCATTAAATTATGAACAGTTTATCTATGAATATTTATTAGCCTATGGAACATATACACATTCAAATAATGGATCATTAATTCTTAATATTAATCAACAACAAATAGATTTACCATCATTAGCAGAAAATATTTCTATTGATAAAAATCTATCACCATTTGAAACTGAATCAAATGAATTAGTTCTATTTATTGATGGAAGAATGATTATTATACCATCGAATCATTGGTTAGTTTATCGTGAAAAATATTCGCATGCTCAATGGATACGAAATCTTAAAAAAGTTAATAGAAATATACCAGAACAATCTATTCCAATAATTGAAGAATGGCTTTCGAATCATGTAACAATATCATTAGATACAGATGAAATTAATATCGATGGTTTAATTATTCCTCTTATTGAAAAATTAGAAACATATTCATCGAATGAAATGTATAAATATTTACTTCATATTGGTTATATTTCGTATAATGTTGATGAAAAATTAGTTTATATAGGACATAATAAACTTGATATTCATCCTGTTTTAACATCTTCATCATCATCATCTCCTCAATTAATTGAACAATTAACAAAACTTCTTCGTTTATTAGATCATATTCATTTTCATAATGAAAATGGTTCATTATTAATAACTGATAATTTTATTATACCAAATGAATATATTTCTAATCTTTATCAAAAATATCAACAGGAACAAGTTTTAAATGCTAATGAATTAGCTAAACAATTATTACAAATATGTCAGGTTGAGGAAGATAAAAATTCTCAATCATTAATATTAACATTTCAAAATCAAATATTACATTTAAAAAATTACAATGAATATCATATAAAAATTTTAACACAATGGCTCCAACAATTAAATCAACAAAAATTAATATGTATAACTGAACAAAATGATATTATTATTTATCTAAATAATATCAATCAACAAATATTTATTCATTATGAAGATGTGGAAATATATATGAAAACAAAACAAGATTCGAATATTATACGTATGGATGATATTGCACATATTTTACTTCAATTTAACTATATTAAATATTCAGCCGGACAATTTATATTTGATAATCAACAAATTGTACTAGATATAAATCAATTAAATTGGTTACAATCCATTATACGTTCTATTCGAATAAATGAACATAAAGAACAAACGGATGTTGAATTATCCAATGGTCAACATATACAATTACTTGAAATACCTTATGAATATATGTTACCCACAACTGAATCAGAAGCTGTTGTGACTTATTTATTTCAAAATGGAAATATACATTATGAAGTTAATCGAGGAGATTATACGTATCATTATATTTCACCAAATGAGAAAATTCATTCAAAAGATCAAGAATTACTTTCTTCTCATATTCGAAATATTCATATTGATAAAGACAATCAACGTATTGAAATTGAATTTCTTTATGATTCGAAAAATTATTTAGAAATTCCATTGAATTGGTATGAACAAATTTCTCAACATGATTTTACTCGTTCATATATTATTAGTATGTTATTTAAAAATGGTGGTATTCTTAATACAGATAAATTTATTTTCAATAATTATACTTATTTATTAAAAGAAAAAGACAATATTATTAATAATTACGTTGAATACATAAACAATCATGATGGTATTAAATATGATAAAGTTAAAAATTGTTTAATCTTACAAAATCTCTCAAATAATTCACAATTATATTTAACACCTGTACATACAGAATTTATTCAAAAAAATCAATATCGACGAGAAGATATGAAATATATACTTACAAAATACAGTCAATTAAAACAAGATGAATATAATAATTGGTTATTATATTATAATAATCAATGTATACAAATTTCCTTCGAAAATAATCAACAAATTTTAAAAGAAGAAACTTCAAATGAATTACTTTATCGTTATCACTCAATAATAAATTATATGTATAATCATGGTTTAATTATTTGTAATAAAACTTTAAAATTAATTCAAATACATTTTCTAAATGAAATTTTAACAATTCCAATTGATCAATTACATTCAATAATAAATCGAAAAATTTTTCATTCACCAAATAATGATATTCTACCATTTACTAGTCAACAGCTATCACAATGGTTATTAGATCATTCAAATCGATTGAATAGTTCTCATCAAGATAATATTCAATTAATATATAAAAATAGATTCTATGATTTACCATTAATTCATCATTCAGAAAAATCCGATTTACAATTACTTTTTCCATTTAATAAATCATTACGTCTTATACAAAAAACCCCATCAACAACAACTTTGGATATTCAACAACCAAATGAAACAAATAATTATACAACTGATCCATTATTAATCTTTGGAAATTATATACATCGTACCGGTTCAATCTATCAAGATCAATTTGGTCGTTTGATTATAAAATTAAATAAAGATGAAATTGTTATACCACAATCTGATGCTGCTAATGCAATAGAAACAATAAACGCTACACCAAATCGTACGGGTACAATAATTGCACGTTTAATAAATCGTCTTGGAAGAATTCAATCAAATAAATTTGGTGGGTTAACAATAACTATTGGTAAAAAATCATTTGAATTATCAAAAGAAACTATTGAAGAACAGAATTCTATTCAAAAACCGATATCTACTAAACGCCAAACAAATTTACCCGTATTAAAAGTTTCAAAATCAGCGGATGATTTATCATCATTGAATACTAAACATACAGAATTTATTGATGATCAACAAATACTTCATACAAGATATAGAACGAATCCGAGATCTTCATATTTACAACCCTATATAATTATTATACCTGATAATGAAACAATTCGTTCGACACGTTTTTATATTCAATATAAACAAAATTCGAATTCTGTTCAATCAACACAACCGAAATTAATCAATCCACAATATCATCAAGATATTGCACTTCGACAAGCACGTGTTTATATCCATAAACATGGTGAAGAAGAAATTTCTTATGAAAATTTAGCTGAATATTTATCGAAAAAAAAATTTAACTATTTATCATCACGAACTATTCGTCGTATGTTAAAATTTTCATCATCGGATGATTATTTTACTTATTTAAGTAAAAAAATGTCTACGATTAAAGCGAAACAATTTGTTCAAGAAAGTGAAGAATATTCAAATGAATCATCATTTCGTTCTATTAATAGTATGACAAAACTATCTCATACACCAGTAAATCTTAATGATGATAGATTAAATTCATCAGGTGTTTATTATAATGTACGAAATGGTACAACTATGTATGAATCGAATCTATATGATGAACAACAACAACAGGATGATTCCTATAATTATCCATCGAAATCTATTGATCGTAATCTATCATCATCAAGTTTAAATTCGGAAATGTTAATAAGAAATACATTTTCATCACGTCAAACTGTTCAATAAGATGCTCCTGTATTACGATATATTTGAAATTATGGATGAAAACGATAACTTCTCTTTTCTTTTTTTTCTTTTGTATAATAACTTTTATTTCGATTATGTTTTAATGCATACAGTATCACTCTTAATATTCCGTCTTCATCATGAGAGAGAGAGAGAAAAACATTTTCATTTTATTTAAATATTCATCATGTATTTATATAATTGGTTTTTAGGTCGATCACCTCTTGCAACTAGTACAGGTGGTCAAAGTTTAACAACACCAGAAAAGAATGTGACATTACCTCGAACTTTATCAGGACAAAGTATATTAAGAATTTCTATATATTAAAGGCATGATTTGTGCATGTGCATGTGTGTTTTAGGTAATGACGGAGAAAGTGAAAGTCGTGCAACTGTTTCACGTAGTGTTAGTGCTGCTGCAAGTACGGAATAATTACAAAAAGAAAATTCTTTTTTTCCAAAAGATTTTATTTTAATCACATTGTTTTATTTTTGCAGAAGTTATTACAAGTAAATCGGATACAATGAAATCAACAACATCATCATCAGCTGCATCAAGTCGAGAAGTATGTAGAGTTCATTTTTTTATTTTCTTGAATAATTAAGAAAGAATATTTGAGTAAAACAAAAATTTTTTATCTGCAGCATCCAGCTGTTCGAGCTCAAAGTTTGGTCAGTATATTATGATTGCTTTTCTTTTTACTCCCTTCTTCCTTTAAGAAGATTTTGATTTCACATCAATAGCATGTTTCTTGCTATAAAGCAATATATAATTTATTTTTTTTTGTTTATTTGAATTTAGTTGTATGTTTAATTATGATATATTTTTAGGCATCACCAAATCGTACAAGTGGTAGTAAAGTTGGAGAAGATGTAGCCAAGAAAGAAAAGAAATCGAAATTTCGAACACCATCATTTCTTCGAAAACGTAAAGAAAAGAAAGAAGCAGCTAATAAAGATAAAGCTGAAAAATGAGCCATGGAACTTCTCTTCTCGTTATCATCTAGTGTTGTCGTGTTGTTCTCGTTTTTTTTTTTGTAGAAAATTCTTTTCTTTTCTTTTTGTCTGAGATATTCATTCGTATATAATACCCGCATTTTGCTTTTCTTGTGTGTAGCTCAGCTTTCGTTGTTGTGTGTGTGTGTTTATTCTTATTGCATCTATTGATCTTTACTAGCAAAAGAAGGTTTGATGATTGAAAAGAAAAAAGACAACTGTATTTGATTTTTTTTCTTTTTTTTTTACATTTCTGCTTTGTTTAATTCTTCTGTGTCCATCGAAGGAACTTTGATTTTCTTTTCTTCTTCTTATGTATTAATATTCTTCTTTTGCTTTACTTTTCTTTTTTCTTGTTTTTTGTTTGCGAGTTGAACTCATTCAGTTTTCTTTGTCTTTTCTTCATAATAGCGCGCGTGAGTTTGAACGCACACACACAAATCATCTTTTGCATAATAAACATATGTACACATTACGTAGAATAGCGTGAGCAAACACTACAATTAATAAATCATGATTTTAATAATTATAAAAATGGATTTATTTGTCTATGATCAATTAATTGTCTTATACAATGTAGGTTAAACATAGAAGTCAAAATTCACCTGTGGTTATCTAAGAATAATATAACACGAGGTCTCTAGAAACAGAAATTCATCAGTATATTATTGTTCATATATCCTATCTATGAAGTCTAATTAGAACTGCATTGTGAGAAAGAAATTATTATAATGCCTAGTATGTAATACCAATCAATTTCATTCTTAACATATGTTAAGTCTGTATTCCTTTTTGTCGTCTAGAGAAAAAATCCTTTTATGTTTTCCATGCCTCGATAAAGGAAATCTAACTATAAAAGTAAATGACTCGTTATATAGATGACATCAAATCATATTTCTTTTCTTAATCTAAATTAAAAACAGCTCATATCTCATCCATCATATTTCTTATAGGGGCAAAACAAATTAGTTGCATGACAGCAATAATATCAAACAAATGTACCAGAAATAATTTAGTAGAGATAAGCAATATTAATGATTTTCTTTCTTGCTTTTATATACATATATATTAAATAAATAGACATCTTGTTATATTATTCGTAAAGAAAGGTTAAGACATTTTTTTTATTCTGTAAAAAAACCCTATTAAATATTTAATATTTATTAATTAAACTAATACTAATCAAACTACAATTAAATGAGTAAAACAGCACACGTCAAACTTTAATTTAACTGCACATTGTCGGACAAGGTTGTTTAAATTTTACAACTGATATAATAACTCGAAGAAGTTGTTGATAATTGGTTTCTTCTTCAATATTTGAATGAGGATAACTTTGACTATAAACAAGATAACCACATCTAAATAAAGAATTTTTTTTTTATTTTTCAATCTATATCTATACAATGAAATATTTTAACCTGCCAATTATAAGATTATTCAATCGTTGTCCATGATAACCTAATTTTTCTATGCCACGATCGTTATAATTATCTTGAAAAAGTCGAATTTTGCCATAATAACTACCCGGTAAATATTGTGCAGCTTGTGGTTCATTAACAAGAATCAGACGTACATCTGGATCACGTATATTTTGATATTCAAGATCACGATAGAGATCGTTATATCTATTTTTTATATGATATAATACTATATAAAACATATTTTATTTTACCTAATCGCTTGATTTCGACAAGCTTGACAACCCAAATGTGTAATACCCATTACAAGTATTTGTTTACGATAATTTGTAATTAAATTCGTTCCATTGATTATTAAATTCTTCATACATATTTTTCCTTTATCAGGATTTGCATTTATTGAAATAACGAAGAGAATAAAAACAGTAAGAGCTTCTTGTCGATACATATCCTAAGCTTGAAATGATGTGTATCTTCATCGTAGAATAACGATTAACTCATATCTTGATGATAACTGACATTTTTCTTCATTATAGAAAACAAAAAGAAATAGTATACATAATACTGTTAATGTACTTCTTCGCTATAGATAGCACATGTTAGCTACAAATATTAACCTTTTAGTTTGAACTAAAAGAAGATGATGACAGTTAGTGAAATCGATTGCTATATGTGTGTGTGTAATAAAAAATGAGGAGAAGAAAAAAAAGGAAAGCAACGATAATAATTTATGATATAGACTATGCCATCAGTCGGTCATCGAGAAGCAAGCGTCAATTGAATTTTCTCTCTTCATCTTGTTCTAAGTCTATTTGTCACACATCATCATTTTTCATATATGATGCTGATGAGTTCATATGGTAGTCTTTCAAATACACACAATCAAAATCATCATTTTTGTTGTTGTCGACAGCATCTACACATCGTTTAATGTAACTGCCCTTGAGCAAGTTCAACTAGCAAGTGAGAAGACAAAAAAAGAGAAATTGAAAGCAAAAATACATATTGACAGTCACCAGCTGCTAAACATCACATTATTATTTATCCGTTTTGACTATTCAAGGATGTCTAGGAAGTAGACATTAAATTCAGTAAACTGGTAAGATAATATTGAACTGTTTTCTTTCTATAATTTTAAAAGACAAATAAGTCAGATTTTAATTTGATTATAACCTTGACTTATTTTGCAGACAAACAGGACGTATTCTAAAAACCTTTATTTTTCGTTTACTCATCGTTTGTTTAATTGGTCTAGTAATCATCGTCAGTAGAAAAAACGAGTTGTCACGCACGTTAATCTCGTTCAGTTTTCTCTTATCTGTCTGTCAATTTCCTTTCTTTTTTCTTTATCTTTCTTTTACATCGAACAAAATTGTCTCCTTAACCGAGTCAATTACATAAACATGCTCGTTCCTATATTATCGACTATGTAAATTAACTTTTTTAAGACATCCAAGGTTGTTTTTTTTCTCGCTCGTCGATATATATGTCATTCAGAGTTTTTACACGTTTGATTTGATGTCTTTAAACGTATAAATATCTATTTCCGTTCTTTTTTTTCTTCTCTCTTTGTTCATCGAAAGACAATTATCATGGGAATAATATATCCGTTAGGTAGTCTTAGATTAACTCTATTGTGAAATGACACTGGACCAAGGTTAATGTGTATAATCACAAGCAATTCCTTTATTGTGTTGTCTTATAACTATGATAAACAAACAACTATAAAGTTCCTATGAGAATACTTCATCGATTAATTGAAACGAATCAAGGTTGGCTAACTAGAAGAAAAGATACATAAATATTAATATATGATACGCCCTAGTCTTTTCTCGTGTTCTCTCATTGTAACTTCCTTCATTTGCCTTCTTTTGTATGTATATGTATGTAGTGTGAGAGGAAGCAATGAAGATTAATCACTTTGACAGTATGCGGTAGTTCTTTCTTACGCAACGATCCTTTTCCTGTTCCTTTCGTATCTTTCTCTCTCTCGCTCTCTCTCTCGCTCTCTCTCTCTCTTCTTCTTTTCTCTTTTTCCATTTTTTTATATAAATGAACAAAAAAAGAAAATCTTCCTTTTTTTTACGAGCATCCATCTTCGTCTTCTTCTTCTTATCGCTCAGAGATTGTCGACAATGGCATGAGATTGAGTAAGTTAACGTTTTAGTGTTACATTCACTATTCATTTCTTTTTTTCTTCTCTTAAATGGATGGTTTGTCTTCCATATTCACGTAAGTCTAATACTATTGAAAATGATTGATCCAATATATATCTATATCGTCATAGTTATCTGATTTTTTTTATTGAAATAGGATATTTTTATTTCCGAACTAAGAGTAAAATAATTTGTTATTATTTTGCATCTAAACGGAAGCGATTTTTCTATATTTTGACATGAACATATGTCTACCGTATGTTATAGGAAGCAATATTTTGTCTTTTCTTTTATCAATTTACTAAATTTAATTGATATTTTTGTTTATTTATATTATATAAAAACTAGACCAGCTGTAAAAGAAATTATTTGAGCATAAATGGCATTGATAATGACTGTTGTTTCTCTTTTTTTTTATGATAACCTTCACATATCTGATATCATTATATATAAACATCATTGATGTGTACGTTGCATAAAAGTGTAATCGGATTATCAACATTAGCAAAACTTAACTATAATGTGACATAAATATACGTGCACATTTATAGAAATTTCTATGATGTCATCATCATCATCGATTAATTTTTGATATTTTTTTCTATTCTCATTACATTATGATTCGTATTGTTTAATGTTACTGAACAGAGATATATACGTTGAATACATAATAAATAAATAAAAGTATATAGATGTTAATAAGCCGAATTACATATACAATCTCTCTCATAGTTCTGAAATTTGTACGTTTCACCTTCGATGTGTGAATAGAATATATAAAAAGACATAGACATTTGAGTACGAGATCAAATGTTTAATACAGATAAAAATCAGTACAAAATAGTTTACTTGATTAAATTTCAAAAAAATCTAATCTATATAGGCGAAGAACGATACTATTCCCTATTGTTTGCTTTGTTTTATTTTTTTGTTCTCAATTCTATTCAAAATCATAATGGTCAGTTTATTACCAAGTGTAAATGGCAATAGCAGCTTAACACATTTATTTTTTCTGTTAGTAATCTATCTTTTCTCTTACTGTCTCATTCAACTATACTCTAATTGTTTTTTTTGTTTGGTCTCATGCACACAATCATAAATCGTATATGTTCTTTCTATATATCATAAATCATATCATCATCATCATTCAATAGAAACTATTTAGTCACTGCTTGTTCATCATTTCCTTTCGAACAATCAAGCTAATTATTTGTTTATTAGTAATATACATTTACCTTGTTCTGTCTAGTTATTCTCTTTGTTTGACTGATTGAATTTCTGAATATGAACATATGCTTCTAGTGTCCATGATCAGTTCTGCATAACTTCATTAACAAGAGCATTTCTAATACAATATTATGCATAGTTTATTACTATTGCCTGATGTTTATTGGATACATTTCTGTGTCATATCTAAATTGTCTCTGACTAATCTATCTTTTTTTT